CATCTAGCCACCTGGTTGTGTCTTCATAAAAATCTAGAAGGTTGGGCAAGCACGACTTCCCCTTGGTGAAGCCATCCTGACTGCCCCTAATGACCCTCTTACCCTTGATATGCCTTGAGATGACACCAAGGATAAGTCGTTCCATCACCTTCCCAGGGATGGAGGTGAGGTTGTTTTTTTTTGGTCCTCCTTCTTGCCCTTTTTGAAGACTGGAGTGACATTTGCCTTCCTCCAGTCCTCAGGCACCTCTCCCATTTCCCACGACTTAGCAAAGATGATGGAGAATGGTCTAGCAATGACTTCAGCCAGCTCTCTCAACACCCGCGGGTGCATCCCATCTGGACCCATAGATTTATGGATGTCCAGATTGCTTAATTGGTCCCTAACCCAGTCCTCATCCACCAAGGCAAACTCCTCTATTGTCCTGACTTCCTCTAGGGCCTCAGGGGTACAGGGTTCCTCAGGACAGCTTCTGTCAGAGTAGACAGAGGCAAAGAAGGCATTCAGTAACTCTGCCTTCTCTGTATCTTCTGTCACCAGGGCACCCACCTCATTCATCAGTGGGCCTACATTGCCTCTAGTGTTAGTTTTATCTGCCATGTATTTGAAGAAGCTCTTTCTGTTGTCCTTGACCCCTCTGGCAAGGTTTAATTTCAGTGTTTTGTTCATCTTGCTTCCAGGTCCTCAGATCCCCAAGTTTAACTTGTGTATGCTACGATACTACATGTTTCCAACAGAAGCAACTGCTCTCTGAAATGGGCAGAGCCACGCAGCCATTAAGGTGCAGTTTGCTTACCACTTTGAAGCAACTTCGCTTTCACCAACAGCACATGAACCTCAATCTGGGAGCAACTGCTATAATACATCAAACTTAATCCAGCTCACACACTATGGAATCAGAAGCCTTATAGCTATCTCAATAAAGAAAACTGTTGCTTACTCCCTTTATGACTTTCTTTCCAGTTTACTGAAACAACACATAATAACCACACTTGAAATGTAGATATTCATTAATGTTTGGGTTTGACCAAGCTAGGATGCACCTTTTATTCTACAATTTAACAAATAATATGTGCATCACATACTGTAGGAACATCAGAAGTGGGATACTTTAAACCAGTTCTTAATTAGAAAAAGAAAGCAAAGTTCAATGCTCTTAGGTGGTATGAAACAGGGATCTCACCTGGTCTTCTGCCCTCACTGTCAATGTATCTTGGTTCAAGAGGTGTGTCACACGCTTAACGTCAAGCTGAAGAAATTCATCTGTCTTGTAAACTTCAGTGAAATGCTGATGGATAAAATCATCTGCAGTGGCTTTCAGTTCTGGACAGTCTAGGCATTCTGCTAACACACTTATACCTATGAGGGAAAAATGGAGGGAAAAAAAAAACTTTCAAACTTGAACTGCAATTACTTTTAATATATAAAAATAGAATAAAATTACCGTAGTTTCAGTGATACTTGCAACCCCAGTTTAATATTAATTGTCATGCTTTTTCTTTTTTTCTTTAAAATACATGCTGTCATAACTCATCTGCAACTCAAGACAAACTAATAAAGCACACACTGCTGATCCCTACCCTCACCGAACTAATCGGAGTCAGACCTGCAGCACCTCCTGCATTAACTACCTCTCCAGCGCTACTTCCTCACTGTTCCTTTCCCCATGATGAAGCAGGTACCTTAACCATGTCTGAGCCATATCACAGTAACAAAATCTAACCAGAACAGCTTTAGAAACTGGATTCAGGTTTTATGACCTCCCCTGACTTGCTCATGCAGCAGCAGTCACCAACCAAGCCCAATTTCCTTCCAGACGGACTTTTCTATACAGGTAGCAGTTAGCTGCAGACCAACACAAAAAAGTCAAGCTGATGCTGCTGCAAGGGCAGAAGGTTGGCATCGAGATATAAATAGCAACTGCTACCAAGAAGCACTGTTTCCAACATTCCCATTAGAAACCAAGCAAGCACAGAGCTTTTCAGCAGCAACTTTTGCTCATCATGCTATGTCTTCCTCCTCCTTCTGTGGAAGAGATGGGCAGTGGGGTAGAAGCAACTCACCAGCCCATGGGCTGCAACTAGCCTAAGCCACTCTAATTAGTAAAATGCAAACTAGAATGATAAAATCTGAGTGTATGACCTCTTGACAAAATTTCAAGAGATTCAGAATAAGCTGTGGTTTCTCTCAAATACACTTTTTTTTTTTTATGAACTGTGGACTTGCCTATGAGTCTGCACAGAACACATTTTAACTTGTAAGCAATGCCTTGAGGACAAGTTGATTTAATCTTTATCGCCTTTTTTGCTATAAATTAGGAACAAAGTATGCAAGTGTTAAGAAAGCATAATTAATTTTCTAGTTAACAAAAACCACAAAAGAAGGAATATGACTCAAAGCAAGTGTAAGTGGCATTTTACTTAGAAGGTAATATCTTCCTTCCAGCAGTTATTTCAGAGCCACAGCTGTCCTGCACTTAGGTGTCTGTTAAATCATTCAGATACACTGCAACACCTTTGTATTTATATTACAAACATCTATAATGCGATTGAGATGTTACTAGGAGAATTACATGACAAATGTAAGTAAGAAACTCTATAAACAAAATTAATCAGAGATTAAAGTGCACCAAATCTTAAGCATCAAAAAGCATTTAGTTCTTCTTGTTGTTGACCTTTTCTGTGACACCGAGTTCATGTTAAAGCTACAAAACATTAAATATCAAACCTGCCCAGATGACATTCATGGATTTCAGTTAAAATGAGGAGCAACTAAAACCAAAAGTAACCTAAACTTACCCTTTTAGAAGATATGCTCATTTTCTAGAAATTACAACTCTGTCAAATTCTGTCTCCAAGTACAGTAACAACAACCGAAAGCCTTACCTTACTAAACAGATGAGGTTTTGTAACGAACAAGAAGCTCCAGGGTGCTGCCAAACTGGTATTAGACCTAGCACAGTCAGTGGACCCCGATAGTGGACTATCAAAGACAACTGCCAGATTGTTTTGTCTATGGCAAGGGACAACAGTTCAGATTCAGAGCAAAATTATTTTTATGTACTTGGATTTAACCAAATATTTCTGTCTTTTAGAAAATACTATCTATTTCTCAGGAACAGCAAAGTTAAAAAATAAACAGTAAGTTTAAGTTTGCATTTCTCTTACCAAGACAATTGGAAGCATCAACTTGTTCCTTTAAAAAGTCCACACACATTTTTTTCACAGGTTCAATTTGATATTGGTTTGCTGCATCTAGTAAAGACTGGACATTATTGCTGTTAACTGAGATTCTGCAAAAGAGAAGGTATAAAATTAGCATCACTAAAATTACCTACCTTGTAAAAAAATTTACACCAATTCACATAAATGGCAAAATTATTTCCCTGCTATTTGAGAAATAATCTTTCACACACAGTCTGAAGACACAACCTGCCTTCATGATCTTTCCAAATTGCTTTCACTTGCTCTACGTTACTGAGGAAGGGCAAAGAGTACAGAGTCCTAGATTCTGAAGAATAAGCCTTTAAGAGGGGCCCTCTGCAGTACCATACTATTGCTCTGACTTGTGTGATTAGCCACTTTCAAAAAACAGAAAACAAATAGAACCTTTTTTTCTGACAGTCTCTTCCTCACAAACAGGCATCAACAAACTCAGTCTAAACTCACTGTCAAGACTGCTCTGGCCGATTTGGCCAGAGTACACAAGCAGAACAACCAGCCCAGCAGTGCTTCAAGAGAAGGTACAGAGCTTGCAGACAAGGCAACCATACGGCTGGGGTGCTGACACTGACTGTCTCTCACCACTGATGGAATATACAAGATTCCTCTCAAAGAAAGAAGAAAACCTTCCTAAGGAGAGTTAATCTCATTAGTACACAGATCAAAGGCCTGCCATCTATTGTTCATGAGACCTGATTAAGAAATACTGCTTACAATCCTACTCAGCTGCACAAGGTGTTTAAAAAAACCCACAAACACATGGACAACCTGAGACAGGAGGGAAATGCTGTTCACAGAACAGTTATCCACCCTGCCTGTCCCCAGATGAAGGTGTAACTCCTGGAAATGGTTCTGTAGGATAGCTACCTGCTGATATCGGTAGGAGCCGGAATTTCAGAACAGTGGGAAATACCATTTGACTCCAAACACTGAAGTCAAAAGCTTAAAGTGCTTTGAATTGCTTTCTGGAGACAACTACCACTCTTTAGTCTGTAAAGCTTCCTACTGATTAAATAAAAAGGGAAGAAGGATAGAAGGTCTAGTCACATCAGACTTTAACCAAAGAACTGTAATGTAATAAAACTGATGAATCATAAAAGCATTATTTTAAGAATTTATCACTTACAATTGGCAGGCTTCCTAGAAAAAGTGTCAGCTTAAAATAACAAAATTACCTTGCAGTATAAGCAAACTCCACAAGCTGTTCAATAATGTCAGGTTCTGCATCTTTTAGCTCCACTTCAAAGGACTTTGATTCAAGCATATTTGCTGCAAATAGATTAAAAGACAAACTACATCAATAAGCCACTAGTTATTGTACATTTTGCAAACAGCAGAAAATAAAGTGATTATACAAAATGAGAACCTGCTAAAAACTGCATACAGTTGATTGCTGTTTTCCCAGGATTACTAATGCAAGTCAGGAAAGAAAGGAGGTAGTGGGACAAACAAGATAATACAAGCATGTGCACGCACCAGTTATGTAAATTATGATAAACTGTATTAAATACAAAAGGTCATAGATTCTGTTGACTGGAGTGCAAACTGCCAAGTTAGCTTCTGACAGTGCAGTGTGTGCTTCCTGTTTTTGGTGATGCTATTTCCACACTCAAGATGGTAACAACAGAGACAGCTCCCAACTCCCCACATCCAGGCACAGCTCTGTAAGTTTGCCCACAGACAGTTACAAGCTGACCACTGGAAGGCATAGTTATTTTATTTCTACTCAACTTTAATGTGTGTTCTATAGCACAGTAATTTTACAATTCATGGGTAAGGGACACAACAGTAAGATAGATACTAAATAACTGAATTTGTAAAGATGCATAAATGCAAGAATATTTAAACTTCTGATAGCCTGTTTTATATGTGGAAGAGTCTAATGGTGGGAAGCAACAGGGCAGACAAATTCTGTCATGGGAGTAAAAACTCCCATTTTTCAGGCTAAGGGAGGGAGACTAAGAGAGCTTACATATGAATTAACACTTGACTTGATCAAGAGTTAAAGGGAAATTGAGGGGAAGGGTGAAGGGAGATGAATGGAAGCAGGATACAAAATGAGAAAATCTTCACTTACGCTCATCATTGAAATTAATCACTTTCATAAACAACATGTCAACCACAAGTCTACCAGGATGTCACCACAAAAATCTTATAATCAATCAATTTTGAAAAGACTTACTAGTAAACATTAAGTTAAAAAAATGACTGGCTGAAGCAAGCACAACACGGTGAGCTGGGATCTTTCTTTCTTGAACCATAAGAACGACATCACATAGCGTTTTCTAAATCAGAGGAAAAAACAGACAAACAAAAAAACCCACAAGATCAGCATTTTCAAAAATATTTTTTAAAGTATTTCTTTAGAAACAGCTTGTGGAAATTCATTGCTTTTCTTAATCCACACACCTCAAGAGTATTATGTAATAAAACCATTTTCTGAAACTCAAAGTTAAGTTCAGTAACCTGGAGAACTAGCGAAGTTCAGTTTACTCATGAACTTGTACCTTAAGGACAGTCGCAAATAACATATGAACTCTGATTAAAGTTTTTCCTGTGGCATTTACACCAACCTCCAACAACGCAGGCTCTGTAGCACCTCGCAGAGGTTGCGTTTACATCACACCCTTTCCATCCATCAGTGGCTCTCTTCTCTACTCAGCTGCTGATTTCCAGAAGAACCTTGTTAAAGACCTCCTGTCTGAAGACTGCTACCATATTGCTCTACCAGAGTGAAAGTGATAAACAAGTTCAAAGCATTCAATGGAACATTTTTAAGAAAATGTATCCCAAAAATGGATCATTCTGTGGATCTGACTGGTCACACCTGATGAGCAACTAGCTTCCAGACCAAAAAAAAAAAAAAGTATTTTTACTTCTTGTTTGCTATTTGAATATAAGCAGTTAGTTTCTCCCCTACATGTGAACCATCAAGCACTAGAAGGAGAAATAAAGTGACAGAACTTATAAAAGTTGCTAGGTGACATGACAGGAGAGTAAGGGATTGGGGTAAAAACAAGTAATTTTAATAGATTCTCAAATGGTATCCTTTCTAAGAACATACTGACTGAAATTAATGCACACCATACTACAGTTAATTATAACATTCTCTTTATTAAGAAAGAAGAATTGAGGAGCACTGCTTCCTAGAAACAGGAATTCATTTTTGACTACTACCTTAAGTTCATGGAACTTCTTTCAGAAACACCTACTTACATGCATCCTGATACTAATCCCAAGAAAGAGCATTTCTACTGTGGGAAGTATATACTTGCTTACAACAGTGCGAGAATGTTTTCCACATACAGACAATACTACTTAACAAGGCTGATAATCCATATAAGCAGACCCTTCAAATAAACATATTTTTTAGTTTCTTGAAGGAAAGGACACTCAGAAGCCTGTGTTGGGTAAAATATAAATAATATTAAAAAAATGGTTTCTTTGGAAGTGAGCTGGAGGGGTGACATACAGCTTCCTTTGTACATCTGTAGCTTTAAGGCATTTAGGACTGAAGCTACGAAAAAATAAACCATTCAAGAAAAGCTTCAGAGGAAATCCTTTACAGCTCCAATTCCTAGCACATCTGGTTCAAAACAAGTGCTGGAAACTAGCAGTACAAGTTACCATAAAATCCTGCAGCCAAGCTTTGCTAAGACTTGCAACTGTTGCTTGAACTCTGCGCTGCATTTGTAAGATACATTTAGTGCCTTAGCTCAGCATCTGAAGCACCTCAGATATTCTAAGGCCTCTCTGCGTACAGGAAGAAATATCTGTCAACCAAAACAGACCATTGTTTTAATTTCTTTCCCCAGGATGTTTCTGGGTGTGACTGTTTCACTTCAACTAATGCTCTTCTGAGGATTTCTGCACTTCTTTCCAGAAGGACCCACTGGTGTCACTGAGTCACCTCAATGAGGCAACAGATGACGAGTTACATCAACCAAAGGACACACCCAGGTGTGTTTGCATTAGGGCGCTTCATCTTTCAAGTAACAGGTTCAGCAACACCTTGCAACGCTGTCCCAGCTTCATTGTCAAGTACTTTATTCTTGGCTGATCTCCACTCAGCTGCAAAGTTGCAACAAAGGATTTATGCACATGCTGCCAAATAGCTCTGTAAAACCCACAAAGATGTGGGCTGTCACATGTTGAAGATGACCAAGAAGTCCTCCAATGCACTAAACATACTTGCCTGCAACATCTCACCAGTACTAAGCACAGGTATGTCCATGGTTTACTCTAGAATCGTGGAGGCTGCCTCTGGATCCCAGCTCACACAAAAACAGCCTCTGTAAAATTAGCTGTACTTTCCAACTGGCCCATTTCCCAACAGCATTAAACTAATGCATTTAAATAGCTAGTGCTCCACATGCATGTTGCTATTTTCATCACAAGAAATTTTTAACTTGTATCATATTTAGGTTTTATAACCACAGCATAGCCCTTGACTTACCAAAATACAAGAAAGAGCTGCCTATAAATCCTCTTAAACTTTAACACAACTAATCAGCTCAGGTAGTACATTTTCCTCTGGCACCAGCTGACTTCCTAACTTTATCCTACATAATCACATCTCCCCCTGCCCCTCCAGTAATAGTTAACCTCCTCTTACAAACAGCTCCTAAAAGGAGCATGAGTGGCATGAACCACACAAGCATTTCTGGAGTGGTCAGCATTGGGTGGGATATGCAAAGCCACCATCTGAGGTCAGATTAGAAATTTCCAGGAAACTGACAGCAGGCAAAATTCAGGAGTTGCACCTCCCCACACACAACAGATTTTGAAATTTGAATGACAAGTACACAAATATTTCACAGCACTTAATCCTGATCCTCCCTCTCCCTGTTTAGAGTAACTCTTAACTAGGTGAGAGCTGGCGCTCTGCTGTTCTGAAAGATGAGGTACTGACACAGAGCAACGTGATGCCGTGTACTGGAGTAGGGACATGGTAAAGCACTGTGATTTCCCTGTGCTAGGGGTGGACATACATCTAAGAGAGGGCAGTATTTCCTCTATCAATTTACAAAGCATAATAGCATCTGGCATCTCCTTGTCAACAATGACAGGGATATGAGCTAAACAGGGATGAGCTGAGTTATGAACTCAGCTACAACTTGGAATATATTTACCCAGTCAGAACAGAAGGAAAGCCTACGCTGAAAAAGCAGATCACAGGCTTTAAGCCTCAACTCCTCTACCTGAAGTCACTGAAATCAATTTGATTTTTCATACACAGGAGCTCAGCTGCATGAAATGGCTTATGTAGACAGCACAAGACTGTGTATTAGTGAAAGAAGAACAGGGCTGAAGTGCTGGAGAAAAGCAGAATCGACACTCTGATATCACTTGCTAGGCCAGGACCCGGACTGCTGATGAACACTGTTGCTAAAAGCTGCACTTAGCCTTTGGTAGGACTAACACTGGGAGACAAGCAGCTAAACTCTAGAAGATACAACACGTGACAGTGCCAAGTACGAAGCCCCCAAGAGTTCCTGAACAGCCAGCTTCGGAGTTGGTTTCTGGCTCCGCATCATTGTTTTTAAATGAGCCACAGCAGCACAATCAAACCAGCTCCTCCTCCGAGGAGGAAGATTTATTCATACGCTAGGAGTTACTTCTGCTCTTGTACCAGCAGTCTCAGCTTTTTAAGGGAGGGGAAATAAATAAATGAATAAATCAACATTTCTGTCAGTTTGGACAGCTCAACTGAAATCCACTTGTATAATCATAATTTTGGTTACCACTCTTGCTCTATTGGTAAACAGACGAGTCACCTTTAATAATAATCACTGGACTATTAAGCTCGGAATCTGACCTGCCAAAAAGGTCAGAGTTTGTAAAGGTGAGGCCACCAGCCCCCTGTGCTGCCACTGGCTTCTTAGTGAGCCAGACAGATGTATTTGGTGTGAAGCACAGAAGAAATGCGACCAGCGAAACCGAACCGTGGTTCCAGTCATCCCCCTCCTCCTGCTGCAGCTTCGCTGTGCCAACACTGTTCACGGGGGTCCAGTCGGGTTGCTCAGAGAAGAGCTCCTGGTTAAAGTTCAGCACCAGCACTTTCTGACTCCCCTCGGGTTGCAGCTGGAACAGGGCTGTGCGGACACACCAACTGGAAGCGCTCAGCGACCAGTTCGGGTTTAACTCCTGCCCTAACTACGGGGCAGAACTACCATCGGCAGGCTGTGGTTAGACCCCAGACCACCGCGCCTCCTGCCCCCGGCGCCGCCCATAGGCCGGACTCGTTACGCGGGCTGTGTCGGCGTACGGCAGCGCCTCGGGGTCACCGCTCCCCC